CTGCGGGGCGGCTGCGTGACCGTGTCACGCGGGGGTGCAATGGCTTTTCTTTTTCCTAGGCCCGGTGCTGTGACATCTGTTCACACTCAGCTGCTCCATCAGACGCCAGCAGCTGACTATGCTGACAGGTAACGCTGGTGCGACAGGGCAGGCTCCTCAGCTGTGCCCTTCCTCCCGCGGGTGGGGGATCCTGGGTGGTACGGGGCAAGAAGCCTTCTACCCTGATGTAGCCCTGTCTCCATACGTGTGACCATCTTTTCCTCACTTCGCTTCTTAAAAGCCAGGATTAACTGGCAGGCTGCTGTCAGTCTGTGAGCCCCGGAGATGAGCCTGCCAGGCACCCTCTGTAATTTGGGTATGGCAAACGGGGGCTCTGCCTAAGCAACAAACTCCACAAATCTCCCCACAGTGGGAGAAAAAACCCCAAACTGTTATAAACGCAGTCTCCAGCGGTAGCAGAGGGAGATTGTCCGTAAGCAATGTACCACGGATTCTTTATGGGATCGCAGCTCCTCGAGGCTAATGATTGTATTCTGCAGTTACGCTAAATAAGTGGAGACTGATACTACTGCGCCGTTTGTCTTCAGCTCTGTCCAAGTCCAGCAAAAGACCTCAGCTGTTGTTCAGAAAAAATCCTACGTCCCCACTAGCAAGGGCGAATATATTGTCACCAAACTCGATGACCTGATCAACTGGGCGCGAAGGGTGAGTTGCTGAAGCTGTCGTGCTCATTAGGGAGAAATGGTATCGAATGCTTTGAGGTGCTGTTGGGAAATGGATTTGAGCCATCTCCTCCACAGGATAAAAATACGTTCCAAATTCTCCACAGGGAAATAGCCAAGTTTCTGGGCCAGAGGTTGACATTTGGGGTACTGTGTCAGAGTGGGGGAGAGACGCTCCATGTGAGGGTGGAGCAAAGCAGCGCAGGCTGCCTGTCTAAACAGAGCTGTCCTTCAGTAACAAGCAAGAGGCGCTTTCTGGTTTTACGTAGTCCTGGTAACGAGCAGCTGCTCCATGCAGTGGAGAAGGCTGCACAAGTGATGCTGCCCGAATCCAGCGTGCTCTGGCTTAGCTGAGTTTTGCCTTCTCCAGTCACCGCTGCCCTTCTGTGGGGCTTCTGAGGCTTTAGCAGTGTGAGATGTAAACGGCAGCGTTTACGGCTTTGGGCATGTTCAGCGCCTCTGAGGCTGCAAATTCACAAATCTCAACACATCTGTTTCCCTGGAGCTGTGGGTTTTGCTCTCCTTCGTAATGGCAAATACCGTTTTCATTTATGATGCTCTGACTAAACAGACCTTGAAACTTTCCTTGTTCTGTTTCCTTTTCTATCTGATCAGCTTTTGTTCTGTGAGTCACTTGCACAGGGTCTCAGCTCCCATTTTCAGCGTTCTTGCCCATAACCCACGTCTATCCTGCTGCAGAGCTCCTTATGGCCGATGACGTTTGGCTTGGCGTGCTGCGCTGTGGAGATGATGCACATGGCAGCTCCTCGCTATGACATGGACCGCTTTGGGGTGGTGTTCCGAGCTAGTCCCCGGCAAGCTGATGTCATGATTGTGGCTGGCACCCTGACGAACAAAATGGCTCCGGCTCTTCGAAAGGTATAGACTGCGATGGGTGCCTCGTGCACGGCTGCGCGTGCTGGATGCACATGGAAAGTGGTCTGAAATGTCTGTGTTCCGCAGGTCTACGACCAGATGCCGGAGCCTCGTTATGTGGTCTCCATGGGGAGGTAAGTGCCGGGACATCCTCGCCGCCTTATACTGCCTGGGAGAAATCTTTTGTCTCTGCTTGAGTGGGGAGATGGAGGGAGAGGAACCCATTTCTCATTTGTATTTCCAACCCCTTAAGTTATATAAAGAGCCCTTGTTACAAGTGAAACATAAAGACTCCCTTTGATTAGGGCGAGGAGAACGATTTCTGTCAAGTCACTGTGAAATGCAAAGTCTTCCCAGTGAAAGATTCTGGGGGTTTTGCAGCTGTCAGATTCTGGGGATGTTATACGTCCAGAGTTTTAGAATTTGCATTTAGACAAAATTTTCCACTGTGCAGCATGGAATCTGAGCTCTGTGGAGCTCTGGTGTGGTGGAACTGACAACTTGTTCATCTCCTGAAGTTGCTGGGGCCGAGGGCAGCCATTTCACCAGGGCCTGGGGGAGACAGAAGGAGTTCTAGAAACACTCCATGCGGATGTGGCGAGATTAAAAAAAAAAAAGTTGTGCAGTAGAGAGGAAGGACCCTCAATACCTGCTTTGTAAGAGTAATGAAAACGGTTCGGTTTGGTTTGATTCAGCTTGAAATGTAACAGCCTGCGAGTGTGGCCTCTGCCTTCCAGCCAGGTCTTGTGAAGAGGCTGAATGGCCACGGCGTAAACCCTGGCATCCGCTCCATCCCTTACTGTAAAATCTGTCAGGTGGCTCCTTGCCTCACAGCACGCGGATGCCAGGTTCTTGTTCTCCTTTGCCTCCTGCTCACCTTTCCCATGGGCTGCTGAGCCGCATGTAACAACCCGCTGAAACCCGCCCGTCTCTTGCAGCTGTGCCAACGGCGGGGGTTACTACCACTACTCCTACTCCGTGGTGCGGGGCTGCGACCGTATTGTGCCGGTGGACATCTATGTGCCTGGTAGGTAGGAAAGACAAGCTCTGCCTGGTAGGTAGGAAAGACACGGCGCTAACTCAGAGCAGGACGGGAGTGAAGTTAATTTTGTATGTTTGCACGGAGCTCGCTGTAGTTTTTAAAGCTCTTTCTGTTTCAAACTGTGTTGCTGAAGTTGCAGATGCTTCAATAAGATCTGCCTGGGGTTTCCAGTAAGTGAGTGGAGTTCGTCTTGTGATGTTACTCACCAGCAACTGTTGTGTAAAGTGTGGGCTATAGTTTAGTCAACCACATATACTCTCCTGTGAGGTACCACCTTGCTTAAAGCAAAGCATTTCTATGCTTTACAGAGACCGTTTTGAAAAACACGTCACTTCAGCTTCTTTAAAACTGCAGCCCTCTTGCTTTTATGAACTCTGCAGCCTGTGACATACGCAAAGCCAGAGGGAAATCACAGCCTGCTTTGGAGTAAAGCCTGTAGCTTGTCGGTTCTCCTTCTGCTGGCTACATTTCAGTACAGCTAGCAGCCCTGCGGGCTTCCTTTTCCTCTCTCTCAGGTTGCCCACCTACTGCTGAAGCTTTGCTGTATGGAATCCTACAGCTTCAGAAGAAAATCAAACGGGAGAAGAAGATTCAGATCTGGTACAGGAAATAGCCTCTTATTTATCACCTACCCACTTACTGCCCACCTGGGGCACCTGCTTGCATTCGTACGCACAATAAATCTGTATTCTCACAAGCCTTCCAATAAAACTCTACCTGGTTAAGATGCTCTTCTGTCTTTAATCTATCCCTCTTATCTAAAGTGTTTTTAACTCATGTAAAAACTGAATTAAAAAGCAGGAATTTAATTCGATCGATGACATTCAGTTTGTTGTTTTCTGGTCTGAATAGCCTGAGAGGGAAGGAGAATGTTTGAAGTTACCTATCGTGAAGTAAGTGGCTTGGCAGAAACTTGGGACTTGCTCTTTGGCTTTGTTAGGAAGTTTTGAGGTGAACCCTGAGGTCGCCCCGAGCTCACCTCTTACCACCTGCTTTTTGTTTAGAATTCCTACAAAGGATCTAATAAATCCTTTCTATCTGTGTGCACAGCAGCCAGAAATTAATCATATTCCTGTAATGTAAGTAAAATATTGATGCTTAAAATCAGAATATGACTAATAAAACTGAATGCTGCAGCACTCCTTGGCACAGTAGGAATGAAGCAGCTCAAGGCAGGCTTTGGTACTGGATGCATCCCGGGAGCCTGGGACGAGGAATAGTCACTGCAGAATTGCACCCGCACTTGGGAAAGACAAATAAATGGCTCTGAAACAGCAGTGGTGTATTTCATTCCTTTTTAATGAATTTTATCCCTTCTGAGTAGAGAGAGGAGACGATGTTTACGTGCCGTTGAACTGCGAGAGGTTGTCGGCATCAGAACTTGCTGCAGTGGGCTTTAGCCAAAAGTATTGAGGAAACTTCACTGGGCCGTTGCTCCAGGAGCAGCTGAAATGCCTCCAGCTGCCCCGTCTTTCCCCATTTCTCCCGCCTGGTTGAGGTTATTTGGCTTGCGTGTGGAAAGCCACCCCGTAACTTCTAAAAATGATCCAAGTTCTAGAGGAAACGCCTGGTCTTCGAACCCCTTTGACTAAAGGCTCTGAGCTACGACACTCTTCAGTTGCAGCTTAATGGAGGTATGTGGAAACGAGGGCGAGTCTTGAGTGGAGTCTCTGCAGGGTGGGCCCTTCCTCTGCAGAGCCCCCCAGGGCAAGGGACTGCATGGGGTCTGACATCTGGGGGGGCGGTGTCCTTTTGTCTGGGAGGTCCCCTGGAGGCCCAGGACTTCCATCCCAAGCCTCCAGCCATCTCCAGCTAAATCAGCTTCAATCTCTCTCCTCAGCATCAAAAGAGATAAGAGCTTTTCTCCTCCTCGGTGGTTGCTTTGGGGCAGCCCCGAGGGATGGTGCCAGGCTGCCGGCACCCTCAGTGCTTAACGATGGATGGGGTGATCATCTTGTGGAAGGAGTAGTACCTGCAGTCCTTGGGGGGGACCAGCTCCATCACCGTCGTGCTGATGTTCTCCTTCCTGAACCCAGCCTCCACCAGGTGCCCTACCTGGGTCTCCTGCGAGAGAGGAGGAGCGGAAAGGAGCAGTGAGGGATGGTGCCAGGCTGCCGGCACCCTCAGTGCTTAACGATGGATGGGGTGATCATCTTGTGGAAGGAGTAGTACCTGCAGTCCTTGGGGGGGACCAGCTCCATCACCGTCGTGCTGATGTTCTCCTTCCTGAACCCAGCCTCCACCAGGTGCCCTACCTGGGTCTCCTGCGAGAGAGGAGGAGCGGAAAGGAGCAGTGATGGGTTGAGCTGCCCAGATGTGAGCGGAGACCCTCTGAGCCCTGGCCTGCGGGGACACAGGACAGTGGGAGCTGCCGGGTGCAGGGAGCCCCGTCTTGGGCTGCCGTGGGCAAAACCCCTCTGACCTTCCCTCAAATGTTCCCTGCTGAGCGCCAGCCGTCACGGCGGAGGTAAATGGCCATGGAGTGCTCTGGCTCATGCTGCTCCACGCCATGGTGTCGGGCGAGCGCCCAGGCACGCAGGAGGCGCCCGGGCTGACGGGGCAGCTTTGGGGACCCCAGCTTGGGCTGGGGGTGCCAGGCCCTTCCCAGCCCGGGGACCGGTGCTCACCTCAAACATCTTCTCGATGTCGGTGTACCTGGTCTTCAGCAGCTCCCCCCAGGAGGTCAGGTTGCAGTAGGTGAGGACCCCACCAGGCTGCAGCAAGCGGAAGGCATGGTCCTGCAACGGGCATCGAGGGGGGGCTGGCTCAGCACCCAGCACCCCCCCTCGCCTCACGTCTCCCCGCAGCGCCGGACATCGCCCCAGCCCTCCGCACCCTCCTGCCGCTCCTCTCCGGTCGGCTGCGACCACGTGCACTGAAAATGCTGCCGATGCTGGGGACATCACGGGGACATTGGGGTCTTCCAGAGGGCACTCAGTCCTGGGCAGCAGGCAGGGTGCCGGGACGGTGGGGGCTGCAGACCAACAGCCGGCTCTGACTTTGACTCCTGAGCTCCCAAATTCTCCTCTCTGTCATGTGTGCCGCCCATCTCCCCCAAACGCACCCCAGCCAGGGGCTCTGGCCCCTCGCGAAGGGAGTGGGCAATGCGGTGCGGGTGCTGCACCCTGCCACGTTACCTTGATGAAGGCGAACTGATGCGTGTGCCAGGTTTCCTCCGACAGCGGGTAGGTGTCGTACAGGATCCCTGCCTGGGAACACCGGAGACCGTCCCATCCATTAGCCGGCAGGGCCCACCAAGGCGCCGGTGGGGCGCATGTGCCGGAGGGAAGATCCTGCTTCATGGCCTGTTACTATTTTTTTTTCCTATTTAAATTTGCATCCTGGGTCTGTGACCCCCGGAAGGCAGCGACATGCTTCTCCCCGGGACAAGGTGGCGGCTGCATCCAGTCCC